TGCAGATGGGCTGGGAGAACAGCACTGCGGTTTTACCAGGAGAAAGTCTGGTAAACAACCTCAAATAGTTGTTAGCCTGAGAAACGAGCAGTGGTGAACATAAACCAAGATGAGGATGGTGTGGTTGGCCAGGTCTCCAAAGCAGACTCCCAAGAGATGTGGGGGGGTTTGGTGGCCAGTGACTGAAGGTGAGAGGCTGTTTATGGAGATGCACTACTTGGATGAGCTATCAGTCTCCCTAGGAGAGAGGTGGAATGAAGTTCAACGTCTCTTCTGTTGAGCAACTACCTTTTTTTTTTTTTTTTTTTTCTTTCTTCCTTGCCTTCGGGGGAAAGAGGCTTTGTCACTTCCTCCTGTTATTTTCCCAGCGAGCAGTGTTGATCTCTTTCTAATGGAAAACTTAACCCTGCTCCCTGGAGACCTAGCCTGAGGGGTCTGCATGAGCACTGAGCCCAAAGCCCTTTCTCTCTCTACGCAGGTCTTCCCTAAGAGTCATGTTGTCAGCGCGCTCAAGACCATCTTTGAGAAGAACGTCATGAGCTTTGCTGGTGGCACCATGGGAGCGGTGAATGGCATGAGACCTGATGGGGTGCCTGACACATCCAGCGTGCAGTCAAATGAGGTGTGGATTGGCGTGGTCTACGCCTTGGCTGCCACCATGATCCAGGAGGTGAGTAGTGATGCTGCACGCCTCAGCACATGCCATTTCCTTCCACTCCATGGATGGGCTGATGATCATCTTCCTTCTGCTGCAGGGGCTGGTGGAGGAAGGCTTTCATACGGCGGAGGGCTGCTACCGGACGGTTTGGGAACGGCTGGGCATGGCTTTCCAGACACCGGAGGCCTATCGGGAGAAGAAAGTCTACCGCTCGCTGGCTTACATGCGGCCCCTCAGCATCTGGAGCATGCAGCTGGCCCTGGAGCGCAGAGCTGGCCAGGCACCCCCACCCACGCAGCTCCCCCAGGTCCCCATCCATCCTTGAGCCTGGTGGCACTGAGCAGGGCAGCAGGTGCACCAGGGGGCTGGTGGGGTCTCAGCTTGGCAGGCAGGGACCCTTCCCTCTCCTCTTCGATAATACTCACATTGCTGTTTTCCTTCCCTACCTCCACTACATGCCCTTCACCTCAGGGGGCTTCCAGCCACCGATGCTGAGCACGAGGAGGGAGGAGAGGTGCGGGTGCTGTCTCCTCAGAGAGGAGAGGGGTGGGATGAGAAGGCGCTGCTGGAGCCTGTGCCTCCCCTTCCCCATCGCTCAGGGCTCTGACAGCCTGCAGGACCCCCAGCCATCCTCCACCGAAGCTGGTACCTTGCCCAGGAGCACAGGAGACCTCTCTCCTGCAGTGAGCAGGCTGGGTAAGGTGGGAGCTGGCCTGCAGGGCAAAAAAAAAAAAAAAAATGTGTGGGTGTATGTGTGTGTGAGGACATTGGACTAGTGCACACAGGCACATGGATGCTGTAGTTGTCCCTCCGTTGTGTGACACTGCAAATACAGACTGGCTCTGCCCAAGGCACCAGCCCCAGCAGAGCCTGTGGCAGATACAATCCCCAGGGGAGCCCCGGCTCCCCCGCCGGTGACAATCGGAGCCCAGGCAGCAGGTCCTGGTCTGGTACCGTGGCACCCCTCCCTGCTGGCACTGGGGGCAGGCAGCTGAGCACGTTTTAAAGGATGAATCATTTTAAGTTCTTAATAAATTTGTCTGGCTGTCTCTCCTTCTTCTTGCGTATCTTCTCTGCCATGGGGGCAAGCTGCAAGAGGGAGGCCCCTCTTGCTGTCCCTTTTCTTCCTGGGCTGGGGATGCAGGGGGGCAAGCCCTAATTGCAGCCTGGCTCTTGTGGGGTTTTGCTAACAGGAGCAAAATGTGGGGAGCACATCTAGGGGAGATGTGGTGACAGGGGAGACTTGCCCCTTGCTCTCTCCTCTCCTGCCTGCAAGGCAGGGGAAGGCAAGGAGCCTAGCATTCCTCCTGAAAATGCTTCTATGGGGAGCCGGGTGCCCCAGGGCTGGCCCTTGATGGAATCCTGTCCCCTCCTGCCCAGGGCTGGGCACCTTGGTTCCTTTTCCTCCTTTCTCTGCCAGCGCAGCATTTGAAGACCGGTTTCAAGGGGGTAGAGGGGGGGTCTTGCCCCCAGGTTTGGCTACAAGGTCTTTCTGCGCACTTCAGAGCTTTTTGCTCTAAAGCCTTCCCTTAATCCTTAAGTGGTGTGAGGGCTGGGGTGGGAAGCAGCCTGTCTTCCCACCCGTGACCATCCCCCCCCAAACCCTTGCCTGCCATGGGAGCTGGTGCAGGCAGGGCATCGCCGCCGTAGCCTGCTGCTGCCAGCGGGTGATGAACAGCCTTTTGTTTGCTCTCCGGGGGAGCGTTCCTGCATCCGCCTGGGCAGAGGAATAATGTTATCCGGGAAGGGCAGGTTGTCCCGGATGCAGCCCCCCCAAGCTGGCCGGTGTTGTCCTGCCTTGGCAGAGCCCACAGCCGATGGAGAGGGACGAAGGTGCTCTCCCTTAGGCTCACCGTGGCAAGGCTGGAGGGGGACGGGCGTGCCAGGACACCGGCACGGTTCACCTGGGCTGCCCGCCTCCATTTGTCTTGTGTTGGCAGTGACTGGGGATGGTGACATCCCGATCCAGCTGGCAAGGGACAAAAGCAGGTACCGAAGCCAGCACAGCTTCTGATCAGGCTTGGTTTTATTGCTGCGACCCATCAGCATCGCTCCTTAACCCCAGGCGATAGGCTGCCCACAGACTTACTTTCAAAGGTTGGGGCATTCAGTCTGTATCAAGGGATATATCTGCTCTTTCCTCCTCTTTTGTCTGTACCACCTCAATAAAACTTGTATCTGATAGATTCAGCTTTCAGCAACTTCTGCACTGGGATGGCTGCGGGCTGGGACGACAATCCTTGGTTACAGATACGATTTTGTCTAACATTTGCCTGTACTAGTGTTTTCACAGCTGATTCAATCCCAGCTTGAGCAGCAAGTTTAATTATTCATTAACCCTTTCTTCTTATTACTCATTAACCCTTTCTTGACCCCTGACATACATAGGTTTAAACCACAGCCCTGCTGAGTTTTAACTTCTTCAGCACTTTCTGCTTTGGACTTCTTCCCTGCCCGCCCATTCCCCCTTGCCCGCTCCCTGCTGCGCCGGGGCTCAGGCATGGCATCGCAGGAATTAGCCGCAGTAATGATTGCCAGCCCTGAGCCGCTTCGCTGGCTGCCCTTTGGAAGGTGCAAACCCCGTGGAGATACCCCAGCTCTTGTCTTGTTTTATTTTTGACTTGGCTGAGACTGGTTAAGAAATCTACCTCCCTGAGCACTGAGCTGATCCCTGCACCTACAAGATACGCCACTGGTGTAGGGATTGTTAAATACAGGAAAAATAAAGGCTATGGGCAGATAGCACCAATATTGTTTGTGTGATGCTAAAATAAACCTACAGCTGTAAATGAGCTGAGGGTTGCTATCAGCAGCAGTGCCAGCATGGAGATGTTGTGTTGCCCATCCCCATACCCACCGGTGGCCACGGGGTCCCTGCGGGAGCTCCCTGAATCCAGGTGATGGCAAGGAGGTGATGGTAAGGCGATGATGGCAAGGTGGTGATGGTGAGGTGGTGATGGCGAGGGTGGGATGGCTGCCCCTCCTGCCCCCTGCAACCTTCCCAGACCAACTGTGCTCATTATCATGCACCTTGGCCACACTCCAGGCAGTGCCTGCCTGCCGAAAAAACTGCCAAAGCAAACAGCAGCTGTGTGAGAAAACACCTTGTTGTGCAGATAATTTCTAAACCAGAGGGAAGCAAACACTGGGGCAGGAATTTCCCGAGGGCAGCCAGCTCTCTGGCTTGGGGAGCTCTTGCGGGCAGGGGTGCGAGAGGGATGTGGGGCTCCTGCAGAGAGGAGAGGGGGGTGTTGAGGTGCCAGCAGCAGAAATGCAATGCTCCCCAGCTTAGGTAGCGATAAATTTTACTCTCAGAGAGAAACTGGCACTCAAATGTGAGATTAAAGGGAAAGCAAAATTTGGGAAGTATTTCTGAGATGTTGCAAAAAGTTGCCTTGTCTCCATTTTAAGAAAAGGAGCATTTTCTGGTGAATAGGGCTCCATCAGCTCTTGCTGTGATGACTGGCTGAATTAAAACACACATATTTTAGGAGACTGCCTTGGAAATCGTTGAGGAATGGTGAGAATATCTGGTGTGAACTAAGCCACTTCAGCCTCCCCAGCCAGCAACAACTATAACATAAAGGGAATTATATAAATACATACTTAATGTTATTTAAGAATCCCTGTGTAAATACAATTTTTGTCAACATTAAGACAAAATGTGACGTCCAAGATATGCGGGGAATGTTTGTTTTCCATAAACAAAACAATTTCCTTCCAACAAAAGCCACTTTGTAAAAACAGCGGTAAACCTGCACACCAGCCCCGGGCAAGAGGAGACCCAGTGCTTTGTAGCCTGATCTGCAGCTGCTTCAGTACCGGGGGGCGGAATAAAGCAAAGCCCCCGAAAGGAGCCAGGTGCTGGGTGGGTTTGCATAAGGATGCCTGGTGAGGAGGTGCAGAGTGAGGCCTCGTGCTGTGGCTGATCCTGCGGTGCATTGGGGTTGAGGCTGCTTGGCACCCCTATGCACCACGGCACGGTACTGGCATGGCAAATGGGAGGCAGAAGGGACAACAGCCCCCAAGAGGGGTTTTTGTTGGCTAAGCATCCGTCCTGGCAGTCACTGACCTGCGGGAGCCAGGGCCTCCTCGTGAGGTGCCAGGGAAATGTGAGCAAGGAGGGACAGTTTCAGCAGGCACTTCTAGGAATATCTGCCTGCAACCACCCTCTCTAACGGATGGGAACGGCAAATTTGGAAACACCCAGATTGCACAATGCCCTGGCTGGAGCTGCCACCCGCAGCCCTGGCAGCAATAAAAAGGCGAGAGAGGAGATGCATCGGCAGAGCCCTGCGAGAAGCACATCCCTGGGTACGCCAGCGGTCTGCCTGCTGCAGAGATGGTGCAAGTGACTCCCTTCCTCCTGATGCTCAGCCTGGCCCTGGTGGCTCCCAGTCTCTCTGCAGGAAAGGTAGGGGCAGGGCTGGGATGCATGGGGCAGGCTGGGCAGGGGGGCTGCGGGGGTGCCCGCTCCTGCCCCCCTGCCCGGACCCAGGCTGTGCTGCAGCACCAACGCTGAGTCCCCTCTGCTCCAGTGCGTGCTGACCGGGAGCTGGGTCAACGACCTGGGCTCTAACATGACCATCGGGGCTGTGAACGGAAAAGGCAACTTCGTCGGCACCTACCACACGGCTGTGACTGCCACCACGAATGACATCCAGGAGTCGCCGCTGCACGGGTCCCAGAACGTTACGAACCAGAAGAGCCAGCCCACCTTCGGCTTCACCGTCAACTGGAGCTTTTCAGGTGCTTCTCCTTTCTCAGCCTCCCTGTGGCGTCCCCAGCCCTCCCTTGCCCCCCCTGTGATGTCCTTGATGCTCTTCAGCCCTCCCCTGCAGTGTCCTTGATGATCCCATGCTTCCCCCTGTGGTGTCCCCAGTGCTCTCCCATGCTCTGTGGTGTCCCTGATGCTCCCCCATCCTCAACCCCAGAGCTCCTTGGCTGGTGTCACCTCCCAGTCCCAGGGCACAGAGGATGCGCTGGGGGCTGAAGCCCACTGCTGTCTGCATCTCCATGAGAGACCCCCAGCCCTCGGACCCCTCCTGCCTGCTTTCCCCATCACTGCTGTCCCCAGAGGGCAGGGACAGCACGGGTCTACCGTCCCCTGCGCTGGGGCAGGCTGCAGGGCCACGGCTCAGCACTGATGTGCCGCCCCGGCCATGCTCACCCCCACCTTCTGTCCCGTCCCCACAGACTCTATCACTGTCTTCACGGGACAGTGCTTCATGGACGAAAATGGAAAGGAGGTTTTGAAGACCATGTGGCTCCTGAGGTCATATGTAGACAACATCAAGAACGACTGGAAAGCCACCAGGTGAGCCTCCTGTCCCTGCCCCACTCGGGTCCCCTGCGCATCCCCGGGGGGTCGGGGCTCTCCCACCCCGCAGTGCT